TTTGTCCTCAGTTGTGCATTCAATTAGTGACCTAGAATATTAGGTTAACTTTATTATTATATAGCAATAATATATTTGAGCCCTGACCGGTTTGGCTCAGTGGATAGAGTGTCAGCCTGCGGACTGAAGGGTCCCGGGTTCGATTCCAGTCAGGGGCATGTACCTTGGTTGCGGGCACATCCCCAGTGGGAGGTGTGCAGGAGGCAGCTGATTGATGTTTCTCTCTCATCGATGTTTCCAACTCTCTATCCCTCTCATTTCCTCCCACAGGGGGAGTGCTGCTCAGCCAGAAGTGAAGCTCACAGCTGGTGAGCACAGCGGCGGTGGCAGGAGCCTCTCCTGACTCCTTGGCAGTGCTAAGGATGTCCAACTGACAGCTCCTGGACTGCGAGAGGGCGCAAACCTGGCTGAGGGACCTCTCCCATTCCCTCCCCCCCCGCCAGTGCACAAATTTTGTGCACCGGGCCTCTAGTTCTTATAGAATAGTAAATGAGTATTTATGCTTTTTAGGTGACTTAAAAAAAAAAAACAATCATTCTTAATTAAGTACTTGAAAAGTTTTTACTTGGATTTATTTTTTGTTTGTTTGTTTATCTTTACTGTTTAAAGTATTACAAATGTACCTTTTGTTACTTTGTGTGTTTTTTCCCATTGAACCTCTCCACCCTGTACCTGCCCCTTCCAGGACTTCACCACTCTATTGTCTGTGTCTATGGGCTATGCATACCAGTATATGCATATAAGTTCCCCAGTTAATCACTCCCTTCCCACTCCTCACCCCACCTTCCCTCTGAAATTTTTCAGTCCACTGCCACTTTTGCAACCTAATAGGCTTTCCAGAATATTGACTCCCCTCTCTCCATATCCACTGATTGGTCTTCTCTAGTCTTCCCTTTCCCCGCTAAGATTCTTTATTATTATTTTTTTAATCCTCACATGAGTACATTCTTAGAGAGAGGAAGCCTAACTATTGTCTACTTTGCACCAAACTCCTCACATCCACTTTTGCTCCTCTTTTATCTATTCCTCATACTGTAGCTTCATACGGCTTAAGACCCTTTAGTGATTTCTCATTATTCTTAGGATTAAAATAGAATTTTTGCTTTAGCCGGTTTAGCTCAGTGGATAGACCATCGCCTGTGGACTGAAGAGTCCCAGGTTCAATTCTGGTCAAGGGATTGAGGGCTCCAGCCCCAGTAGGGGGCATGCAAGAGATAGTCAATCAATGATTCTTTCATCATTGGTGTTGCTATCTCTCCCTCTCCCTTTCTCTCTGAAACAGGGCCGGGAGGAACCTGAAACCAAGGTACATGCCTTGACTGGAATTGAACACAAGACCCTTTGGTCCACAGGCTCTATCCACTGCGCCAAACCAGCTAGGGCTAGAATTGTTTTTCTTAAAAAATGTATCTTTATTGTTGAAAGTATTACAGATGTCCCCCCTTTTTTTCCCCATCGACCCCTTCCACCTTCTCCCCTGCATCAAGTTTTCACTGTACTATTATCTGTGTCCATGGATTATGCATATAAATTATTTGGTTAATCTCTCCTCACCCACCCACCAATCCCCACCTTCCCTCTGAGATTCATCAGTCTGTTCCATGCTTCTGTCTCTAGATCTTGAAATAGAATTCTTAATGTAACCTATAAAACTGCACAATCAAGCACTTCTCTACCTCTCCAATTCTATCTGACTCACTGTGGCTATGAGAGTTTATCAAAAGTGTCCTGTTCCTTTTCAGGGCCTTCACACATTATCTTCTCTGTCTAGAATCTAGGATAGGCTTTTTCTTATCTTTACTTAGTTATTCCTACTCAATCAAGACTTTAATCAAATGTCTCTTCATTTGGGGTTGGGGTGGGAGGAGCGCATGTGCATGAGTACCACCTATAACTTTTCTCATTACACTGGCCCAAGTAACTTTGGGAGCGGACTTTGAGTTTTTTTGGTTTCATATTTTATTTATATTGAAATTGTGTTAGAGCTTTCAACTTTACATTTACTCCTCATTTTTCTCTAACAGTAACATTTTTTTAATCCTCACTCAAGGATATGTTTTTATTGATTTTACAGACGAAGGGAGGAGATGAATATCTATGTGAGAGAGAAACATCAATTGGTTGCTTCTAGTACCCACCCCGACCAGGGATTGAATTCACAACCTGGGAATGTGCCCTGACTGAGAATCAAACCCTTGACTCTTCAGTGCATGGGACGATGCTCCACCCAACTGAGCCACACCAGTTAGGGCGACAGTAACACTTTATGTATACAAAAATTGTGTGTGTGTGTGTGTGTGTGTGTGTGTGTGTCATACACACATATATGTATGTATCATATATATGTATGTATCATATGAAATGTGGAATGTATTCATTACCTTGCCTCTTTACAGGTCACTAAACCTAGATGTATTTATTTGTAGATACACAGATAGTTATTTTGAATGACTGGTATTTCATTGTATGGACAGCCTTAATTTATTTAACTTGACTCTATTGATAAATACTTATAGTTTATTTATTTTGAACAATACCATCTTTCACTTGCCATACTGTTTTCAAGGTCAATCCATGTAGTAGCATGTATCAGTACATAATTCTTTTTTAATGACAATAAAATTTTATCATATAGAGAAATCATATTTTGTTTATCCTGTGACCTATTGTTCTCATTATTTGGCTACTGAGAACAGTTCTACTATGAACATTCATGCGCAAATTTGTAATATATGCGCAAAACATATATTTTCAATTCTCTTGTATACATTCCTAAGGCTAAGAGTTAAATTGCTAGGTAATATGATTTTTCTTTTTAAAAAATGTTTTTATTGATTTCAGAGAGGGGAAAGGTAAAGAGAAATAGAAATATCAGTGATGAGAGAGAATCATCAATTGACTGCCTCCTGCATGCCCCTTACTAGGGATCAAGCCCTGACCTGAAATTGAACCATGACCTCCTGGTTCATAGGTCAACCACTGAGCCACTCTGGCTGGGCTGTAGCAATTTTTTAAGCTGAGACTGTGAATCCTCCAACTTTGGGATTCTTCAAGACTGCTTTGATTATTCTGGTTCCCTGGAGTTTCCATATGAATGTTAGGGTCAGCTGCCAATGTCTGCAAAGAGCCAGCTGTGACCTGGATAGGGATTGTGTTGAGTCTGTATATAAATATGGCAAGTATAGTTATGCTGGCAATTAAGTTTTCAAATCTATAACATGGCATATATATTCCCATTTATTCATATCTACTTTAATTTCTTTCAACAATGTTTTATGCCTGGCTGGTATAGCTCAGTTGGTTGAGCATTGTCCTGTGCACTGAAAGGTTGCCGGTTCGATTCCCAGTCAGGGCACATGCCCAGGTTGCAGGTTCAGTCACTGGTCAAGGTAGGTAATGGAGGAAACCAATCAATGTTTCTTTCTCCCTCCTTCTTCCTCCCTCTCTAAAATCAATAAAAACAGTTTTTTAAAAAAACACCACAAAATGTTTTATAATTTTTATTTTATTTTTTAACATATTTTTATTGATTTCAGAGAGGAAGGGAGAGGGAGAGAGAGAGAGATAGAAACTTCAATGGGAGAGAATCATGATCAGCTGCCTCCTGCATACCCCCTACTGGGGATTGAGCCCGCAACCAGGCATGTGCCCTTGATCAGAGTCGAACCCAGCACCCTCAGTCCACAGGCTATTGCTCTATCCACTGAGCTAAACCAACTAGGGTTGTTTTATAATTTTTAGAATGCAAGTTTTATACGTCTGATGTTTAATTTATTCCTAAGTGTTTTATTCTTTTGCTGGTACTATAAATGAAATTTTCTTCATGTCATTTTTAATTACTCATTGCTAATCCTATATAATAAAAGGCTAATATGCAAATTGTATATTACCTTGCCTCTTTACAGGTCACTAAACTTAGATGTATTTATTTGTAGATACACAGATAGTTGTTCGACTGCTTGCTATGATGTGTGCTGACCACCAGGGGGCAGCACAAAATGAAGGAAGGCCCCGACTGGCAGCCAGCAGCCGGGAAAAGGAAGGCCCTGGCCAGCCCTAATCACCGGCCAGGCCTAGGGACCCTACCCATGCACAACCGGTCGACCAGTTGCTATGATGTACACTGACTACCAGGGGGAAGACACTCAATGCAGGAGCTGACCCCTGGTGTCAGTGTGCTCCCACAGTGGGAGCACCACTCAGCTGACCTGACCGGGCACCAGACATAGGGCTCACGGCTGGTGAGCGCTGCTATGGCAGCGCAAGCCTCTCCTGATCGGGACTGACTGGGCAGGAGCCCACGGCTGGCATAGCAGGCAGGCACAGCGGGGCCGGAGGAGCTGAAGTGGCAGGCGGCGTGGGACTGCCAGTTTTAGCCCAATCCCCGCAGGCCACGCTGAGGGACCCCACCAGTGCACGAATCGGGCCTCTAGTAGATATATGATTAATTTATGGTTGTTGATCTTATATTCTGTAGCCTTAATTAAATTATTGATTCATTATGTTCCTTAGGATTTGCTATGTACAAGCATGCTATTTGCAAATAGCGATAGTTTTACTTCTTTCTTCATTTCTAATCTAAATGTATTTTATTTCTTTTCCTTGCCTAATAGACCTAACTAGAACCTCCCATACAATGCTCAATAGCAGTGGTGAGAACAGACATCCTTGTCTCATTCCTTATCTTAAATGGAAAGCAATCTGTCTTTCACTATTAAGCGTGAAGTTAACTATGGGTCTTTGTAGATGCCTTTATCAATTTGAAGGGGTTCCCTTCTAGTCCTAGTGTTGAATGTTTTTATCATGAAAGAGTGTTGGGTTTTATTAACTGTTTTTTCTTTGTCTATTAAGATTATCGAGCATTTTTGTCCTTTATTCTATTGAAATTATGAAATTTTCATAACTCTGTCTATTTGAGAAAAATAAGCATGGGTAAATTAGTGTGCTGGATTGCATTTCTTATTCTGATATGTTCTTTTTCCTTTGCCTTTCAAATATAGATCTTCTTTTACTGACTTCACCTGGTCTGCCAGAAGAAGAGGATTGAAGGAAAAATACCCACCCACACAATCGTGTGCTTGCTTGTTCCTATATGAAAAGGAATCCTTTGAAAGGACCTGAGATGTCTTATTAGTTTCACAAGATTCTCTTCTTCTGTTTTCTTTTTAGAGGGAAAATAACATGAATTGAAAAGCAATTATAGTCTGAAGCACAGTTATTACCTGCATTAAAAAATCTCTCATCTTTTCTGCACATTATAATTCTTACATGGGTTAGCAAGAAAAATACTTTGTAATGTCTTTGGACTTTTGAATAGTAAAAAGTGCAAGAAAATAAAATTTGGCTTTCATAGTCCTATAATCCTCAAAAATATTAAAATAATGTTGTATATGTTTGAATGATTATTTTTAAAAATGCTAGATCTGGAATCAATTTCAAAGACTATTTGTCTTTGCAGAAGAGAAAATAATTGGTTCATCGGTTACTTATATAAAAAGACTAAGAAAGAAGCTATTAATTGCTACCAGTTTTATATTATAGGCTTTAATGTTTATGAAAGAATTTTTATTTTGAATAATATTCACTTAAAGTTGTAAAAGGACGTTTGAAATACTGATTGTAGCTCATTTTATTTTAAAACTGAAATGTTCATTTCTGAATCTTTTTCTCATCATGTAATTACAAGAAGCCAGTGTTTGATTTCCTTTGAAGTTCTGTTTATTGTCCTTGATTCACTTGTATACCAGTAGTTTCTTAAAAGGCTCACTTAAAGTTGACATTTAAAATATAGTTATGCCAATGAAGTTCCCACTGGACAATATCTAACATGAGTGCTCATCATTCTGCTAGGCTCTGTTGTGGTGCTGTTCAACCTGTGGTGGTGAGACTTGTTAAAAAAAAAATCAGGAATTTAGGAATATGAATGATTACCCAACAAGGACATTACCCTGTCTAATTCTGAATTGTATGGATAATTAGATGTTCCCAAATTATTGAATATGCTCTTAATTTGTATTTATTGAAAGACTGTTAACTCGGTGTCATAAAATTTCTATTATTTTGCTATAAATTAATTCAGGTATAAAATTTACAAATTCATATCATGATTAAAATTTTTACTTTGTACAAAAGTAGGAGGAGACCTAAACTATTAACTTTTATTGTGCAAAAATAACAGGTTGGGATTGATAAATAAAGAACTTGATATAGAAATTCTGACATCATGGAGTCTGTCTCCCTTTCATAGCTTATTAATGACATATTTTAGAATGGAAGGTGCCTGTAAAAAGCACTGTGAATAAATTTACATACAAACAAAAAATGTTTCCTAAAATGTATTACCTCTTATTTAAATTAGATATTTGGGGAAGTTCTAAATTATTTTCTGGATAAATTATAATTCTTTTACACAAATGCATTTTAGTAGAAACATAAGCTATTATCAATTATATTTATGTTTAAAACATGTACTTATTGATCTGTTTATATATTTTGTACAAAAAGAAAAACAATATATAGTTCAGATGCATCTACAAAGTTAAAATCCACCTATACCATTGTAAAGTAATAGTTATAGATTTCTGCTCAAACCACTTAAATAATTGTTCAATAAAACACCCAGTGAGCCCTAGCTGGTTTGGCTCAGTGGATAAAGCATTAGTGTGTAGACTGAAGGGTCCTGATTCCAGTCAAAGACAGATGCCTGGATTATGGACTCAATTCCCAGTAGTGGGCATGCAAGAGACAGCAGATAAGTAATTCTCTCTCATCATTAATGTTTCTAACTCTCCCTCTCTCTTCCTCTTTGAAATCAATAAAATCCTATATAATAAAAAGGTAATATGCAAATTGATCCTAACGGCAAAACGACCAGTTGCTATGACACACACTGACCACCAGGGGGCTCAATGCAGGAGCTGTCCCCTAGTGGTCAGTGCACTTCCACAGGGGAAGGACCACTCAGCCAGAAGCTGGCTCATGGCTGGCCAGTGCAGCAGCGGTGACGGGAGCCTCTCCCACCTCTGTGGTAGCACTAAGGATGTCCGACTAACGGCAGGAAGCAGGCCTAAGCTGTTAGTTGGACATCCCCCAAGGGCTCCTGGGCTGCCAGAGGGATGTCTGACTGCCAGCTTAGACCTGATCCCCTGGGAAGCGGGCCTAAGCTGTCAGTCAGACATCCCCAAGGGGTCCCGGACTGTAAGAGGACACAGGCCGGGCTGAGGGACCCCCCTGAAGTGCACGAATTTTTGTGCACCGGGCCTCTAGTGTGTGTGTGTGTGTGTGTGTGTGTGTACACATATATATGTATACACACATACACACACACACATATACTGAGTGGCCCAATTATTATGACCACCCCATCAGTACTTCATTGAGACTTCCAAAAATATTGAATATTGAAAACTTCTTAAGCAAATACTCTCAAGGTATTATTATTATTATTATTCTTTGCATAACTAATTCACTTCATTGTGATGGGGTGGTCATAATCATCTGGCCGGTCACAATAATCTGGCCACTCAGTGTATATTAAAAAAAAACACAAAACTCAGTGATTTGAGTGTCTAGATGTCCTTAGTTTGTATAAGAAATGTTCAGCGTATTGAGCACAGCATGATAGAAATGTTCCCTGACACTACTTATTTGTATTCCACTGTTTGTTCCTTTTAATTAAAGCATTTTAGACTGAACAGCCTTATTATGTATCCTGCCACAGAAGATGTTTAACTTAATTCTAGATTATCAGAGTAAGGGCAAAGATTCTCAAAATCTATAAAAACTCAACAACCAGTGGTTTCTATGCTGAAAGTGGCATAACAGAGTAAGTCCATGACAATGGAATCACATTTTACTCACTGGCAAGGTGGAGCCATAGATCAGAGGCATGTCTAATATGTGTACTTAAAACTTAACCATCTTTATGATTTGGTGTTTTATTATTTTTCTATTAAAAGATCTTTGTAACAGCTAATATTTTCAGAATACAAAAGAAAATTTTACATAGTTTAACCAAGATCAGCGGTGGTAATGGCGCCATCCTAGCCTGGGGCTGTGGGGAGAGTCAGTAAAGTAGAGCAGATGGAGTGATAGATCAAAGAACGATTATAAATTTTGATCCCTTCTTTCTTGGCTCAGTTCCTTCCAAACTCTGAAATCAGTTTTTGGTCCTATTCTTGCATCAGTTTCACTCTCCTTTGAAAACCCAGAACTGAAATGAGTAGGTAAAAAATATAAGGGTGTGCCAAAAGCCTTAGTAATAAAGATTAGCAATATTTTTATACCACTTTTGAAAAAGATAAAAATCAAGCATGATGAACAAAACACCAAACTTTCAGGAAAAAGCTTGTTCAATTAAACCATGTTATAGCCTGAGGCAAAAGGAAAAAATTAGTAATGCTAATCCTGTCACTAATAAGAGCCTTGTTTTAGGCATAGTGGAGGCTGAGTTCCAGCCTTTTGATTTTTCCCTTCTTCTCACTACCCAAAATGACTTCACTCCTAAACTCCCTAGATCTTATCCCATTTCTCATTCTTGGCTTCCACCAGGGAGAGTGTTCATGGAAAGAACACTGAATTCGCCTGACTGGTTTGGCTCAGTGGATAGAGCATTGGCCTGCGGACTGAAAGGTCCCAGGTTGGATTCCAATCAAGGGCATGTACCTTGGTTGCAGGCACATCCCCAGTGAGGGGTGTGCAGGAGGCAGCTTATCAATGTTTCTCTCTCATCGATGTTTCTAACTACCTCTCTCCCTTCTTCTCTGTAAAAAATCAATAAAAGATATTTTTTTAAAAAAAGGAACACTAAATTCTAGCCCTGGCTTTTTACAGCTGAGTTCACATCTTACTATAAATTTATATGATTGGAATCCAAGGAGTCTTAGTTAGAGCTAGTGAGGTTGATAATTGCTCTACAGAAAAGTCCTATCAGTTTCATCTGGGAACTACCTACAACTATCTCTTATACTATTAGGATTATTATAATTCTCTATTTTTAAAAATAATTTTATTGATTTAAAAGAGGAAGGGAGAGGGAGAGAGATAGAAACATCAATGATGAGAGAGACTCATTGATTGGCTATCTCCTGCATGCCCCACACTGGGAATCGAGCCTGCAACCTGGGCATGTGCCCTGACCTGGAATTGAACCATGACCTCCTGGTTCATAAGTCGATGCTCAACCGTTGAGCCACATCCGCTTGGCACAATACTCTATTTTTGCAAGTTCTTATACCTCAGATCAACTGTTTTGTGGCACTTGCCAGGTAAGTGACTGTATAACATTCTGAGTATTTTTGTTTGGTTGGTTTTTGAGAATGTTTATTAAAGCTGGGGACAGTGAAACAAGGAAGGGCTTAGGATAGAAGAAGCAACAGGAGAGAGCCTAGGCAGCGCTGCTTTGGCTCACTGGGGAGTCAGAGAAAAGGGGGCCTTGGAGACAGGTGAAGGAGGGTTAGCTGTCCATTGCTCCCCCGGTTGCAAGTCTCATGGGGTATCTTAGAGTTTAGGACAGTGATGGCGAACCTTTTGAGCTCGGCGTGTCAGCATTTTGAAAAACCCTAACTTAACTCTGGTGCTGTGTCACATAGAGAAATTTTTTGATATTTGCAACCATAGTAAAATAAAGACATAGATATTTGCAACCATACTAAAACAAAGACTTATATTTTTGATATTTATTTTATATATTTAAATGCCATTTAACAAAGAAAAATCAACCAAAAAAATGAGTTCGTGTGTCACCTCTGACACGCATGTCATAGGTTCACCATCACTGGTTTAGGAGTTGCATGCCTGTGGGGGAAGAAGAGGAGGAAGAGTAAGGCTTAAGCATGCTCCCAGGAGGAGGAGCACACCTTCTAACTTTTTAACTTTAATGGGTAATAGTAAAGGAATATTTTGGTATGTAGTCATTTCTTGGTTTTCCTATTTTTAATGTAATGCCACTTGGTAGAATGCATCAGTTTGTCAGTTTTCACACTATTTTTTTCTCTCCTCCAGTAGGTTGCGGACAATGTGTTTCATAACTCAAATAGTGTTAATGCTTAACTAAATACAACTTGTATAAACTGAGCCATATGTGGGATGAGAAGTTTAAATATTGCACTAAAACAAAGCAAAAATATTTCCAATTATTCATCATTTGGTAAACTTTTAACATTAGCTTTGAAAAATGAAAAAAAAAATCTAAAATTGGAATTTGACCAATATATACATATATAATCTAATAAAAGAGAAACATGCAAATCGACCCCACCTCTGCTATGCCCAAGCCACCAGCCAATCAGAGTGACTATATGCAAATTAACCCAACCAAGATGGTGGCCAGCAGCCACAGAGCTGGAGCAAGCAGGAGGCTTGGTTGCCTCGGCGATGGAGGAAGCCAAGCTTTCCGCCTGCCCTGGCCGGCTGTGGGCTCTGCTCAAGGCAACAAAATTTCAATTATAGAAGATAAATAAATCCCAGATATCTGCTTCCAGACAGCCTCCACTAAGGAGCTTGGGTGACTTGGGGCCGTGGCTAGCCTGCAAACAGTCATCAGCCCCTCACCTAGGCTGGCCACACCATCATAGGGTGAGGGTCCCTTGCTGGGGGGCTTGGCCAGCCTGCAAACAGCCATCAGCCCCTCACCCAGGCTGGCCATACCCTCATGGGGTGAGGGTCCCCACTGGGGGCCTTGGCCAGTCTGCAAACAGCCATTAGCCCCTCATCCAGGCTGGCCAGGCACCCCAGTGGGACCCCAACACTGATCCCAAACACCCTTCAGGGCATACCAGCTGGCCCCCACCCATGCACCAGGCCTCTATTC